GGAGTTCGGTGGAGCGCAGCTGTGTATGTTCAATATCTTTTGGGAAATAAATATTCGTTCGGTAAAGAAAGAAATTTGAAAACAGTGCGGAAAAGTTAGACCTACGTATGTAAGTTCTTTTTTATTTACGCAGGCAATATACAGGAAATCGAAGAATTAATAAGAAATGGAGTAGATGTTAATATCAAAAATAGTTACGGTGCTACACCTTTATATTTTGCGGCGCTAAAAAGTAAGTTCATACTCAGTTCATCGCATTGACAAAATACAATGGCAAATATGTTTTAATCTATTTTTCTCCAGATCAATCTAATGTAGTTGAGTTGCTGATAAGAAATGGTGCTGATGTCAATGCTAAAGTTAGTCAATTCGGCGATAGCCCGCTTTATATAGCTTCTTTTGAAGGTAACAAAAAGCAAGTATATTGCTTGATGTATCATCATTCATCAAGCTTTAAAATTGTTTTCGGTTTGTTTGTTGGTTTCTGTAAATGTGACATAACTCAAGGCTCTGCAACGAATACTATGTGTAGTTTTTCATTTACTCTCAAATGATGTTCAACGATTTGAATCAATGTCAGTACAAAAAAAAAATGAAATGTCCGTGCCTATTGCATGTCCGAATGTCCGAGCTTTTCTCGGACAAAAATGTGCCCGAACCATAAAAAGTCGGACAAATTGTTGTCAGTGGCTACCTCTATGTCCGAACAGTTCTCGGACGTCCGACGGAATTGTGAATACTGAATAGTAGCTCTAGTACAACGAACTACTGAATATATATCTGTGTATTTCCATGAATTTTCAAGTAATAGTCGCTATAGCTCAGTTCAAAACCTACCATTTTGATTAAATTGGTTAGTTTTTCTGCCGATCCCTGAGGGTTGAAAATATTTTTTTAAATGTCACTTGTTTATGCATCGAACATCAAGCATTACTTCCAAGTAAAGTCGCCAACTTTTCTACGTACACTTTTGACGTTTCAAAATAAATGCCGAAAAATGAGAGAAGTTCTGCCAACTGCACATACAATCGTATGACTATATTGGAAAAAAAGCAATGTTCCCAACCAATTGTCAATCGTACATGTAGAAATGTGGGGGCAAACTGTACATTGGCAGTGTATTTCTAATAAATATGTTTGTAAGATAATGATTCTTTTAATCAAATTAAGGTCATGAGCGTGTCGCTGAAATATTAATCGAAAACGGTGCAGATGTAAACATTAGAAAAAACAGCGGATCTGCACCAATTCATGGAGCTGCTCAGGAAGGTAATTTAAAATCAATTAATTTTCTATAGATAACAGAAGTTAAAAAATATTTATATCAAAATCATTTTCGTAGGCCATGAGCGAATTGTGGATTTGTTGCTTAAAAAGGGGACTAATGTTAACAGTCTAAATAACGAAGGATCGACGCCTTTGCTTATGGCTTCGTACAAAGGTAGTACAATTGAAATTGATGTCACTTCTGTCAAATCGTCAAAATGCAAATAAATGTTTCTATATCTTTTCCTTCAGGTCAATCTGATGTAGTTGAACTGTTGATAAGAAATGGTGCTGATATTAATTTAAAAAATATCCCCGAAGAAAGTGCAATTTACTTGGCCACATTAAAAGGTAATCAAAAATTTAAATATATTCAATAAATGTATGTGAGAATATGTTTTTTTAATCAAATTAAGATCATGACCGTGTCGTTGAAATATTAATCGAAAAAGGTGCAGATGTGAACATTAGAAGAAAGGACGGCTTTGCACCAATACATGCAGCTGCTATGGAAGGTAATTTTAAATTAAATGAATCTTTAAATAAAATGTCTTACATACGTAAGATGAACTTTTCCGCACTGTGATCCACAAAATTCATTTATAACTTATTACTTTTCCGCACACCTAGTGTAGGGAAGGTATTGTATTAGGCCAAAAAATTAAAGTCATCCCAAAACATGTTTTCTATGCATATTTAATGTAGAAAACACGATTGGAGATGATTTTGGGGCATATTAATGTGCGTCGCTGTGTGTGATGTGTCCTGTGACCTGTGACCTGTGACCTGTGTCCTGTGTCCTGTGGCGTGTTGCCAAAATTTGTTAACTCGATAAATCTTCTTCCAAAAACTCAATTCAAATTCTGACTTTGCAGGATGATTTGGGACTACTAGGAGACGTGCTGATTAGTTTTTGAGCAATATCTGTTGACCGGTGTAATTTTTTTTGGTCCGAATGGAGTACCCACATCCCACATCCATACATTTTTTTATAATTTCTCAACCATTTTGGTGACACGATAGTTTCGTGCTCGGACATGAAATTCAAAATGTGACTTCACGAAGTGATTGGGCACTACGAGGAATAGATCTGGTCAAATTTTCAACGACATTGATTGATCGGTGTAAAACTTAGACTCTGAAGAGGCACTTATGAGAAAAATGCCTTAAAATGATATTCTTTCAATTTGAACGTTGAATGAATGTGTAGTGGGGGGTTTTTTGGCACGAGAAACCCGAATCTGATGTTAGTTTTAAGATGCAATCAATTTTTCACACACTTTTCATACAAAAATCCACAAAAAATTTCATTTTTGTATGAAAGACTTGCCTTTGTGGTACCGTAATGATCTGAAACTTTGAACAGGCTATTTTTGGATTGAAATTTCTTTAAACTTGGTGTGATTATTTATTTTGATAAGAAAATAATATTCACAAGTTTTCACGATAATTTAAGTTACTGCAACCATACAAAGACCATGATTTCAGTTTATTCCCAAAATTTCGGTTCCATGGGGAAAAGTCAGCTTGCGTACGTAAGCCTCTTTATCTTTTACTTGAATTTGAACTCACGAAAAACTGAATCTGACATTAGTTTTGCGATACACATAATTTTTGACACACTTTTTATATAAAAATTACTTAAAATGGGAATTTTGGAATGGAATCAATCCTTGCATGACGACGTGAAACTTGACACAGGGTATTTTTTCACAAAAAGCCAAAGCATGGCAGTAGTGACAGTTGGGCAACGCAGCATTGAATAATGGCACAAATTTGTGCTCAACAATGGCACAAATTTGTACCAGCAACCAATAGGGTTGCTATAGTTCATCTGGCAACCGATGCGAGCGCGTCGGTCATTTTTTGTCACTGCCGTGCTTTGCAAAAAGCCAACATTCTGGAAGTTTGAAAATATTTCAATACAATTTA